ATAGCTTACACTGCTGAGACTCAATTGACACAATACATTCAGTTCTGGGTGCTGTGGATGTGATTTTATGTCTTAAAGTGTGGTTATTTTGTCAGGGACTTGGCTACCAGAGCTACCTAAAATAGCAAGGAATGCAAAGAGAGTTCTTAAAAGAACCAGTGGAAGCAGGTACAGGCCAGTGGATAAGGCGCTCTGGACACATAATCAGTAGGCAACATGACAGCTGTCCTAGAAGGCAAATTGTGCATAGCATCAAGAAGTTTGGGGGACTCTAGCAATAAGAGAAGGTTGAGGCCCTCAGTTAGACTAAAGTGGACCCATTCGCCAGATGAATGACCCTACAAAGGAATCGGAATAAAGGGCAAAAGGGCACCCTCTGAAATGACTCAAACATCAAGAGCAAGGCAAGACCCTCTTCCCAAAGTAATAAAACAGGAGGAGGAAAATGCTCACCTTGGACATTAAGTAGAAGGCAAACTTGATCCTGAAGAATCAGAGTAGTTAACAGTAAAGCAAAGAAGTTCATTTCTACAGTTTCTTACGTTCTTCTCCCTGGAACAGGTTTGATCCCTGATCCATGGACAGGGCTGAGTCTACAGGTGAGAGTGACTTTTTCCCATCTGGAAAATTAGAATTATAGAGCTGGTAAAATTACATAAATAATTCAGTGTTCTCCCAACTCCATTGCACAATTGACTCATTCCTAGCAAAATACATTAATCGAACACTCTCCCCCAACTCCATTGCACAATTGACTCATTCCTAGCAAAATACATTAATCGAACATTCTATCACTGTGCTAGATTCAGAGAAGGTAGAAATAAACGAAACTAGTGCTTTGATAAAGAATTCTCATTTCTACATGTAAGAAAGAATCATTCATTTTTAAAGCTACCATGTAATGGACTAAGTTCTAGAGTGATGACTAACAGCAAATGAACAGGTTTGATAACCTATTAATGTGGTTGAGAAATGACATTAAAGAAATGTGGAGCAGTTTGAACCATTTTATTAAAAGATATTTCATACATGTAATATTTTTACATTTCTATTAATAAGGAAAATAGTTTATAGAATGTTGTAGAGAATATATCAAAGTAATTCAAATTAACTTCTAATTACATGTGCAATAATATATTTTCCTTAAAAAAGATTCTAATAATGCCGACATACAGTTTGGTCCCATTTTATGTGAATTTCTATTATACAGATATGAAACAGATTGTATATGAAATATTTCTAGAACTCACTTCATGAGAAAAATATTAAACAAAGCAAATAACCCCAAATTTAAAAATCATCAATTAATTACATAATTTGAAATGAGTGAATTGTAAACTATTTACACTATTGCCACAAGGTGGCACCATAGTGGTAACTGTGGCAAAGTATTTTCTGACTTTTTCTCTGCATTTATATAATTATGTACTATGTTTATAACCATATTCATAATTTGAGGCTTTCTGAATAAATTAAATTGTTCTATGTGTAATATGGGAACTGTAACTTTCTGTCTTTGACAAACAGAATATGGGGGTCTACCATATTCTTTAACTGCTGTCTAATATTCCTTAGTGGGAACATATAATTTTTTTAAGAAATCCTGCATCAGTGGCCATCCAGAAGTCTTTAAATTTTACACTAATGGGAATGATGTCATAAAGACCATTCTTGAATTATGTTTGCGTATATGGACAAGTATATATGAAGAGTGTATATTCTGCCAGAAGGTATTTCTGGCTCAAAGCTCTTTAATGCTGACAAATATAGTCAAATTTGTCCTATTAAAAGGTCTAACAATTTAAGCTCTAACCAACATTGTTTGAGAAAGCCCATTTTCCTCACATCACAATGACTGAATATTTGTTTTTTAAATGTTACCACCTCATATAAACTAATGTTGCTTGGTTGTTGTTAAATTTATTGTTCCTTAATTAGGAGTGAGGTTGAATATTTAAAACTTTTAATGTTCTTTTACAATTTTTGTCCAATGATTTGCCTGCTCATATTATTTGCCCCCTCCACTTTTTTATGAGAATTTTCTTTTTCTTTTGGATATGTCAGAGATTTTTATGTACTGTGGATATCGATGATTAGGTTGTTATGTCTGTTAAAACATATTTTCCCTTAATTTGTCACTTATCATTGAACTTTGATAATGGCAGCTTTCATTGCAAATGAGTTTTAATTCTTAAGTGATCAATCATGAGAACTTTTTTTCTCTTAAGGCTTCTGGTGTTTGTGGGGTTTTTCTTTGTTTTTTGCTTTGTTTTGCTTTGAAAGAGTCTTTCAAAATTTTGCAGCTCTATGAAGACATTCGTCTGTGTGGGGTTTTCCACATGTATTATTTCTGTACACATGGAATTTATATTTTTATAGATATCCAATTATCCTGCCAATGTGTACTTAATAGACACTTTTCTTCTTCAATGACTTGAATCATTACATTTATTATGTTCCAGTTGCAAATATACATCGTTCTGTGTCTAGATAATTCTTTTCTGCTCTGCAGTTGACCAAAATCTTAACATTTCACAGGAATAAATTCAATGGATCACAAGACTATCCCCATTTCACAGAAGGGGGAGAGGGAGATCAAAGCTAAGGGATTTGCATGAAGTCCCGTGTCTACATTGAAAGGAGACCTGGACCTAGGAGCCTGTTTTTATTTCAAATTTAGAGTTTTCCTATTCTGTTACAAACTGTGGTTTGAGATAGGAAAATAGGTCACTTTATCCTCTTTTATCTTGATTCTTTTTCAGAAACAGAGGAGTATTCAGGCTGTAGCAGGTTCCCATGCCAGAATGGGGGCACGTGTATAAATGGAAGAACTAGCTTTACCTGTGCTTGCCGACACCCTTTCACTGGTGATAACTGCACTGTCAAGCTGGTAGAAGAAAATGCTTTAGCTCCAGGTAAAAAGAACATGCATCCTTGGAATTGCTCAATGTCATAAACAGAAACGGTTTGTGAAAATATTTACAAATGTATATTTAAACTTGTTTAATCTGGATCCGTTTTAAGATTAATTCCTTTTACTTGTAAAACTTATTGAATAATGTACCTGATTTACAAGTGGAAATGTCTTTTTGTCAGGTAAATTCATTATTTGCCCTTGTTGAAATTTTCAGTATTGGTAGAGCAGAGGCAGTTTATTGAAAATCCTAACACCCCCACCACCACCACCATTTTTTAATCTTGTGCATCTTGAAAGAAAATACAGATATACATATTTGACTGGTATAAACTTTGTCCTCAGGAAAGTTGTTAAAGAAAAACAACTTTTATTCATGTCAGATATTTTTTAATCTTGTGCATCTTGAAAGAAAATACAGATATACATATTTGACTGGTATAAACTTTCTCCTCAGGAAAGTTGTTAAAGAAAAACAACTTTTATTCATGTCAGATAGGGTCATTTAAATGAGGTTTTAACATGTGCTTAGCAAGGTGTTTTCTGTGAAGGTGAAGCTAACGTTGCCGTTTGGCTGTGTGAGGACTGTTAGAATATGCTCAGATGTACTGAGTAAGCCAAGATACTTTTTTGTCCATTTAATTTTGTAAGTACTGGTGGCCTTAGATTTACTTCAAGAGTGCACCATTTCTGATTTTTATACAGGAAAATATGTGCAGCATTTAAAATATATTCTCTTTAATGACAGCAAAAATCATACTTGAAATCAGGTTTTTCTCAATATGCAGCATACTGGAGAGTAAAATTTTTAATGCTATTTTTAAATCTCAGCCTTCGTAAGTATATTTGGCATTAATTACACAGAAAATTGCTTTTGTCTACCTTTCCACAGTGAATGTGACTTCATTTGGTTTCTATTTTAACCTCTAGAAAGTGTTCGACAAGGCGCCGGAAAAACTGTTTCTACATCATGTCAGCTTCAATTCCTGCATGGGGCTTTAAAACATTCTGGCATACCATAATAATCACAGAGTGCTTTGAATTCTTTTATCTCTGGGGAGATCAAAGCAACATGCAAATTAATCTTTGAGGCATTTCTATGAGGGAGGTTTCAAGTGATACTTTCATTTTATCCTAGTCTCAATGGAGAAACTGAGGCTAAGCGATTTAGGGTAATCCAGCCAGGAGAAAAGGCAGGCACCCAGACACATACACTCTTGCTAAATTTGACCGAGGACCTTTTCTTTCTTTTGCTAAACCTTTTTGTAACTGAGATAAAATGATGATGACACATGAGGCTAAGCGATTTAGGGTAATCCAGCCAGGAGAAAAGGCAGGCACCCAGACACATACACCCTTGCTAAATTTGACCGAGGACCTTTTCTTTCTTTTGCTAAACCTTTTGTAACTGAGATAAACTGATGAAGACACGGGGAAAGAAAAAACAAGATAAAAACATGACAATTAACTCTTGCCATTTTTTCCTCTAACAGATTTTTCCAAAGGATCTTACAGATACGCACCGATGGTGGCATTTTTTACATCTCATACATATGGAATGACTACACCTGGTCCTATCCTGTTTAATAATTTGGAGGTCAATTATGGAGCTTCGTATAACCCAAGAACTGGAAAATTCAGAATTCCATATCTTGGAGTGTATATTTTCAAGTATACCATTGAGTCATTCAGTGCTCATATCTCTGGATTTTTAGTAGTTGACGGAATAGACAAGCTTGCATTCGAGTCTGAAAATATTAACAGTGAAGTACACTGTGATAGGGTTTTGACTGGGGATGCCTTATTAGAATTAAATTATGGGCAGGAAGTGTGGCTGCGACTTGTAAAAGGAACGATTCCAGCCAAGAGTCCCCCTGTTACTACATTTAGTGGATACCTGTTATATCGTACATAAGTTACTATGAAAGACAGACTATCACCTTTACTGAGAAACAGCCAGTGTTTTTATTTACCTTTGCATGCACATCTGCTCTGTTTTGGTTTTTCCATACAAAATGAAAACCGACTTCTTTTTTAATCTGAGTAAAGCTGTATGTTTGTTTATTTCATAAAATTATTTGAATATGTTTTGGATAGCCTGTATATGAAGGAGTTCCTGCTCCTAAAGAAATTTAATGGCACAGAAAACAAAATGCATTTGTTAGCATAACTATTTGTACTTTTGTTTCTTCATTTTAAGTCATTTCGATGTAGAGTCACATTATAAAATGGCAATCGTACAATATTGTCAATCACAGTAGTCTTTCCAATTAAATACTTTTGTTATTCCCTGTGTATATAATATATAATGTACATTTCCTAGATTCAAAAATTCAAATAAATTACTCAAAGACCAAAAAATTTTTTAATTATTATTTTTACTGTTTACTGTTGAGTTGATCAATTTTACATATAAGATTTTCATTTGTAATCAAAATTAAGAAAGTTAAATTAAAAATGAAATATGAAATATGCTTAACCATTGCTCTCTTCCTGAGGATGAAGTAGTAATTGACACATATTTGAACACTAATATCCGAGTCTAAGGATATGTAAGTGGATTATTTACTGCCTCCATCATGTAACATCTGCAGGGGGAAAAGTAACATCTTTTTCTAATAAGTGTCCTTAGATGGCAACACATGCAGATCTGCATCAGATTTATTCTTCTAAAGGGTAAGTAAAAATTCGTGTAATAATACAATTTATGGGATGCTCGCTATACCCTGTTTCTCTCCTAAACAACTTACACATAATGTCTCATTTCTCATAATAACTCTTATAAGGCGGGTATTATCACCATTATTTTTATAGTTGAAGAAACTAAGACACAGAGCGATTAAAGAATACACCAAGGCCCAGAGCCCTTAAGGGTTAAAGCAGGATTTGGAATCAAGCCGTGTCTTACCCAGAGCACACATCCATCCTTTCTCTATATTTGGTCCTCTGATGGACCAAAATGTATTTTAACTAATCCCTTATCAATGGGCATTTAGGTTTCTTATTATAACAATATCGTTGTAGTGAACATCCTTAAAAATACATTCCTTATATGTTTGACAAAGTTTTTCTGAAGAATAGATTCCCATAAGTAATACTAAAAATAGTAATGAAAAAATGTTTGGTATGACAAGCATTTTTCATGAATTACTTTATTTAATACTCACTATAACCCAATGAATTACATATTAGTCTGTGAAGTATGTATTACGCATTATCAGTCTCTTTCTGTCCATGAGAAACAGAGGCAAGTAGCAGTTAAATAATTTTCCCAATATTAAAGCAAATGATTGAGAATTTCTGGAACAAAGAATAAACATATTTTTTTCAATTTTGATGGTACTATCAAATTGCCCTTAAAAATATTTGTACCAATCTGTAGTTCCAGCAATATGAAAAAGAGTGCTCTTTGTCCCCCACACATCCCGTTCAAAACTCACAATTTTAAAAATATTGCCAATCTTGAAGGTGAAAGTAGTTATCTCCTATTTACAGCACAAACTTGAAATATTTTCACATTTGCTAAAGCTTGGAATCATACGTCCATACAGAGATTTGCACATGAATGTTCATAGTTGCTTTATTTGTAATACCCCAAAACTGGGAATCACCCACATGTCCAGCAACAGAAAAATGGTTAAGCAAACTTTCATATATCCGTACAATAGAGTAGTACTAAGCAATAAAAAAGAATGAATACATTACAGCACCTATGAATCTCACAATAAGTATGAAGATTTCAAACTGCAGCATGATAACCTTTGGCCATTTCTGTGGGAACTCTGAAGTGAATACTGTCCATCGGAACGTCCCATTGAGTTAAATATAGCCGAGCCTTTGTAACTCAGCCTCACTAGGTGCTAGATTCAGTCTGCCAGAGAAGAGTGCGACCTAGGAGCTGAGAACTGGAGGCTGGATAACTGACCGTTTCTACCCTGTGATGTGTAAATGTGTTGTTTTCAAAAACATTTGGACAGTTTTGATACTTTCTTTAAGTCCCTGCCTGAAAATTCACCATGATATAAAATGCTTTTTTATTTTACTTCATCAAGTATTCATAAATTAAATAGTTTTTGCTTTCCAAATATACTTGTCAACATGGATTTCAGTATTTTCAATGTACTGCTTTTCATTAATATTACCAGAACGGAAGGAAGTAAATCATTTGACTATGCTTGTCATTACCATACCTGATTTAATTTATTGATTTTTGTAACTAGATAATTAAGAACATTTAGCACTAAATTATGCTTGGTGCCTGGAAATTTAATTATTAATATTATTCTTTATTTTTTATACATATTTGTAGAATATGCAATTAAATAACCAATTGCCACCAATAGCCAAGAGGCATTATAGCAACTTTAAAGTTGCTATGAACATTTTTGTCTATATTTTTAAAAGTCGTTCAATATAATAATTATTAATATTATTCTTTATTTTTTATACATATTTGTAGAATATGCAATTAAATAACCAACTGCCACCAATAGCCAAGAGGCATTATAGCAACTTTAAAGTTGCTATGAACATTTTTGTCTATATTTTTTAAAGTCGTTCAATATAACGCAAGATAATTCAGTAATGTATTCCTAATTGTCATGGTCGAACTGAGACATGTAGAAAACATATAGCACTGGTATTTTTCTTGATTTCTTCTGTGGAGATAGGTAACTACCCTGGATATTATTTTGTAGATTAAATTTCAGAATGCTTCTCTCTCACCAGACCTTTCTGTCAAACAAGCTCCCAAAATACACCAAGCCCCTAATAACTGATAACAAGATCAAATCCATTTACTTATTAATTATTGAATAAATAGCTATTTTATAACAAGCATGATAAATCATATATAACAAATAATATAAAAATAAATACCAAATAAATCAGTACAGACAAATGCTGCATTTGAAATGCATTATCTGGAGTCATGCCAGCATTTATTACTGCCAAAATCATGAGTAGCTATGTAAAAATGGGAAATTTATCTTAAATAACCACCCTCCTCTTTTTTCTGCACCCTTGACTAAATTTCCATTACCTCTTTTTGATAACTCCAAGAATTCAGGAATTTCATAGTCAAAGCCAAAAGCCAAGTGTCCCTAAATTTGCTCTTCCTTACTCTATTTCATGCATCAAACTCTCATTTTGGAAGAATGAGCGAGTATCATTTAGGCATTAAGAAATGATTAATATAAGCCATACTGACTTATATTAATAAGTTGACTTATAGGTCAACTTTTTGGTTGACTTGCGTATTTAGTCCTCTCACAGGGTATTTTTTTGGTGGTGATTCATCTATTTCAAAATATAAATTTACTAAATCAAATGACTCTCTAAAATACAGTTTTTATAATATATTAAATATTTTTACATATATTATATGATATATTTATATGTTATATATATAATTTATATTTATATAAATACATATTAATGTATTATATATGCGTTCAGTTAAATTTCATACATACATAGAATATATACACTCATATATATAAAACTTAAAGTTTTTACATGCGCTTTTCATACATGTTTGAAGAAAATGGGTAGACAATTTGGCACCTATTTTTAAAAAATTGATGTGGTTTATTAGTGTTGACTTTTTCATATTGGAAACTAGTGAGTCATATTCTTTGTCTTCATCAAAGGCAATTTTAATGTAGCAAAATTTTCTTCATTTAAACTTTGCCTATCATCTGTCATTGCAGGGCACGTGTGGGACACATTAAAGCAAAAAATACAGGCCTGCCCTTGCTACAGTGCACAATTTAGCTGGGCTGCTCCCTCCTACAGAAGGCAGAGATGTTTGCTGCCACAGTGGTTTCCTACCCAGGATTTCATCAATAAGCTGGGGAGTGTTATTAAGCACCTTCCCTCAAGTGCTTTTACCACAGCTCAGTGAGAATTCTCAATGAGCTATACTGCATTTGTGTTTAGAGAAAACAATACCAAAGTGGTGTTCATTTCTCTGGGCTGACATCCTAATTGAACAATCTAAAACTCTGGAAAAGGTCCAAAATTTGGAGTTTTTATTACCTTTATTCATGGATTGCTTCATAAACTCTCAAAGCCCAGGCTTCGGTGAAAACATTTTCCAAATATCAAGTATATAAGTCAGCTTGGTTGCAGATTTGGGATCCAGCGAGGGCTCTCTTCCTGGCATGCCCAAGGTAGAAGGCTGCCTTCTCACTGGGTGTTCACACAGCAGGGTGGTGCAGGGGTGCTGAGGTCGAGAGAGAGACAGAGCAAGCGATCGAAGGAGCTCTGGGCTCTTCCTCTTTTTATAGAGACAATAATCCCATCATGGAGGCTCCACCCTTATGACCTTATCTAAACCTAATCACTCCCAAAGACCCTACCTCCGAATACCATCATATTGGGGTACAGAGCTTCAACAGACAAATTTTGCTCGGGGAAGGGGAGCCACAGTCATTCAGTCCACAGTACCAGGTGTTGAATGTAATAATATTTAGAATGGCGTTTTAAAACATTATTTTCACAGCTTTAAAAATGTCAGTCTAAGGCAGATCGTGGCTGGCTGTTTAGCTCAGTTGATTAGAGCACGGCCTTGTAGGCCTTGTAACACGAAGGCCAAGGGTTTGGTTCCCCATACTGGGCGGTGGCGGGGGGGAAGCACTAAGGTAGATCCTGGTTGTAATGTGATTTCCTATCAGTTAAGACAAATAAATACTTACATCAAGGCCACTGCAGATAACAGAGAAAATACTGCAGGATACATCTTGAGGGGCAGATGTTCTTATAAATACTACTCTACTCTCCTTACTTCAGCCACTAATGAAGAAATTAAATTACTGGATTTCTTCTTACCATGATACAGACAATTACATATATATACTTTCTAATTTTTTTTAGAATTTACTTCTCCTCATTTATCTTTGCAGTCACTATCATCACCACCAAAGCATTTAATTATGCATAATATATATTAATATGTATAAAGAGGACCACATGTATATTTCTTCACCTTTATGAAATCTGTGGATTAAGGATGACAGTAATTTGTCAGAAAACATTTATTTGTACTATCTAGCCTTTTCCACAAATATTTTAAGATGGCCAGATACATAATTTGTGATAAGAAAAATATAAAACTTAGACAAAGATATTTAGTTGCTATTTATATATCACATATATGTCCAGAATATGTGTTTTCCTTATCACGATTTCCTAATTATATTCATATGCACTAATTTTCATGATTTGTCAGAGGGCAATCTTGCTGTTAATAGAGAATATCCTACAAAGATTCCTCACACAGTCTCAAACTATCTTTCAATTCTCTACTCTACCCTATTCCCTATCTTACTATTGTAGATCTGCTATTTAACAAACATGTT